GAATTTCATTTACGGTTATTAATTATCATTGATAATGTTTGCGCAAATATTCTTATGCATTGATGACAGATTGATAAAGAGTAAAACGGGTTCTTTGTCATTTGGTGGGGATTTCAATATTTTTCTTGTTAGAGCTTGCCTAACATTATTCTTGGTTATATTTTTGCATTTGTGCACAGGTTTATCCTTCATTCTTCACTGGGATTATATTCGTTTGGGTTGCACCAGATATTCTCAAAAATGTTTGTATTTCTTCTCTAGATGCTGGCTTTTTGACTTCTATAACTGCTTTTCCAATTTCCATGTAAAACGTCTTGAGATCTGTTTGGAATATCTTATTTTGTCGATAGAATCTTCAATGCTTTTTATATCGTTATTTTCTTGATAGAGCCTACAACGCTTTTCATATCGTTCATTATTATTATTATTATTATTTCAGTTGCTTCCAATTGGCCACAAGATAACAGTCATAATTTTTGGTACATTTCCTTGGATATTTAGCTATTTGAATGGTCTGTTTTGTGTGTATACAGTTGTATAAACATTCGTTAAAATATGTATGGGGATGCACAGATATAATTTATACACGGTTACAATGTGTACACCGAGTCAATAGAGAGTCTGTAAAACTAAAATTAAGCCGATTCAATAAAAACATAGAAACGCATTGTGTCTTTGTTTTTATCTCTTTATTCTTCCACCAGTGACGTGATTTGAGCTTTTCTATACTGTCATTGCTCCTTTTTTTTTCTTGTTCATTCGGATATTTGCTTGCTATATCCAAAAATCTAGGGACATCTCCAAAGACAAAGGGACATGAAGCCAAATAAATTGCCTTTTCAGTATCCACCGAGACCTCGGCTATGGCATGGAATCTACAGTTCCAGTCCTTCTAACTCATCCAGTCTCTGCTTCACAGGTTTAGTAAAATGTCATATACATTTACACCTATAGACATGATATGATATTTCTTTTTATCTTATTTCCCATTGTCAAACTTGCTTTTCTTTCTTCAAGTCAGTCTGTATGGTTATGTTACAAAGTACTTGGTATTTCATTCAACAACCTAGTTGGAGCTGACAACATTGGTCTTCATGGCCGAGGACGTTTGGACAGTTCCACCTATATGACAGCGACGCATTTTTGTAGGGAGGTGGTTGCAAGCCATTTTTCAAAAAGTCAATTGAATACTCCACATTCTTTCTTACCACAATATCCATGACGCTTGAGGTTTTCATTCCAACCTTGTAGGAATTATCCTACATTTCATAACATATAGGAAAAGACATTGCATTTTAGTACAGTTTCCATGTTTCTGAAGACAGTTTTGCAGATTTTCTGAAATGAATGAGTCGCTCTTCTTATGCGACTTCGGATTTCTCTGCCACACGTGCCCGTCGTCTGTTTCTTCACTACCAAGATTTTCTGCATTTTTCTTAAGTTTTATGTCACTGATCCGCAACTGGCACCTTAGGATCAATCTTTGTTGACAAACATGTATTCTCGTTTCGTAAAGTTTATTATAATTTGTTTTTTCTTTCTTTGATTAACTTTTCTTAAAGTAATTACAGTTTTCTTTCAGAGGTTTTCATCGACTCTGTGTAAGGTATATTTGGTCAGATTACGTCCGTCGATGATAATATTGGTATGGTGTCCATTCCTATTAGAATCATCTCTGTTATTAAATAATACACGAATATAGAATCTTCGTCCTGAACAAACTTAATACATCTGTTGAGAAAAGAATTGTTGTTGTACATTCACTTCAATTTTTGTGTATTCGTTCTCAATAAACTTGTAAGCCGTTTTTTTCCCAGTATTCCGTGGAGTTATCTTAATATATTTCTGTGTAAATCACGCTTTTCTAAAATTTTGAAAAGTATCACATTTATCCAATAATTGTTTAATCAAATAAACACAGGTATTAGTCTTTCTCTTCTCTTATCCTTCGACCCGATATAATCCTCATGATGAGAATTGCATTTCATTTTTCAATAGCGTAAAAGTAAAACGGCAATTTTATCCTGCACGTTTTTTCGATCAATTTCTCTATGTGTTCCATTGATTAGAAATTTGATTATTAGTTGAATTTTCTGGTTCCTCCATTTGTTTCTTCGATAGAGATCATAGTTCTTCATACCTGGTTACATTCACAGAACAATCAATATTGATTTTCTAAGATAATCTATCATGTATTTCATTTATCATTTCTTTAACCTTATCAAATATGTGCGGAGTAATAGTTATAGGCGCAGAGGATAGAAGTGGTGTCACAATTCGCGTTCGTATTTGCGCAAATACCGTTTTAAAATACACGGATCCATCTCATATCTCAACGTTTATGTTTTTCTTAATTGCGTAAATTGGGTTTCGTAGACTTGAGTGGGTAAAAATCTACGAGAACGAAACATCTGGGCACTGAACCATGAAAATGGTAACGAGAAACCATTTCACTATTGTTATCAAGAAGTCATGAATTAATATGTAATCAAGAAAAATAGATATGTGGATAGCAATGATCACCGAAATCATAATAGAACGTGATATATAACGATAAAACCTATTGCTTTGTTCATCTTCATCTAGTCCAGTTCTGACATCACGTTGAATACATCCATGCTTTTATATATTGTGGGTTTCTCAAAATACTTTTCATGAAAATCCCATTCGATTTACTAATTTTATTTTTACTTTAGTAGTTCTACTATGATTGTTTTTTCTTTAGATAGTAGGCATCTTGTCAGAAAGAACGTTTTCTTTTATAATATTCCATTGATCGCATTCTAGCGTAATCATCGAGTACATAGGATGTGGGTGAAAACAAATGAAACTGTAAAATATCAAACACAAATAAATTACTGGAAAAAAATCTGGCAAAAATTAGAAGCCACTGACAGGATGGTCATGGCTGCGCAGAGTACACTTTCAATATGAAACAGATCCAATTAAATTCAGCCTTGTGCCATATCTGTCCGTGTGGGGCGGTTGGTAGATATCCTGCAATTGGAGATTCGTCTCAGCTGTGAGATATCAAACAATCTCTCTGCCTCCGAATGTTTTTAGTAATATAAACTTAAAATAAACGATATACGATGGTTAAAAGGAGCATTTAAAAAGAACCGGAATAAACAATTTAACACGATGGTAATTCAAGGGACAGATATTCATTTTTAAATTATGACCTAAACGGATTAAAATCTTAAAATTGCGATAATAAGTATTTCTATAAATTCGTACAAATTTGAAGAATTTTTTTTCAAATAAACTGAAAGATATCGTCATGCAAATCTCATATGAAATAAGCTATGAACCTTTATAATATAAAAAATCTTAAAATGAAAATTCGTTCCATCTGTGCTCGGCAGTTTTTCGATCCCTAAACCTTTTCCATTTAACCACAAATGACAGCATCAAAATAAGTTTCACCTACATGGATAAAATTGCAACAGACTTAACGGATTAGTGGCAGATTGCGTATTAATATTTTTTTCTATAAAGCGTGACAGATTTTAAGAATTTTTTTTTCAAATAAAACTGAAAGAGAAAGGAGTAATTTTAGGAGGTGAATTAAATGACAAAATTCTAATCAAGATAATGAACGCTTGAGCAGGGTTGATAATGAGGTATTTTAAAATCTTATTACGCTGGACAAAATTTACTCAGATGCGTGTGTGGAATAATGTATTATTCCATCTACGACATTTTACGCGCGCGCGAGTTTCCTCCCTTTCTTCCACACTCGTGTGTGCGCGCGCACGTTTGACACCCCCTTTCTCCCTCGTTCGGTCTAATACAGTAGTAACTGTTTTGGTCGATAGTCAAACGACCTGCTACTCCTGTTTATGCAAATTAGATTTTTGAAATCTTGCCGCGAAAAATTTGTGACGTCAACGACAAACTGTTGTTTCAGAAAAGTTAGTTGTGTTCCAGACTCTGACCTGGGCAGACTCATTTTTATCCATGTCAATATTTCAGGTTGACTGGCGAAGGAAATAATACTATGCGACCACAAATAATTTTTTCCTCGTCCCTTTTGGCTCGTCATTCATAATCATTTTTCCGAGACGATGCAAATACCAAATAAAAAATTCTTCGTTCCTTTTGGCTGGTCATTCAAGAACCCTTTTCCGAGACGATGCAATACCAGATAATTTTTTCCTCGTCCCTTTTGGCTCGTCATTCGGAATTTCTTCTACAAGACTATGGGAACACCAGATAATTAATTCCTCGTCCCTTTTTGGCTCGTCATTCAAAGACCTCCTCCGAGATGATGCAAAACATCCAAAATATTAATTCCTCGGCCCTTTGAGACTCGTCATTCAAAGTTCTACTCCGAGACGATGCAGAACATACAAGATAACAATCCGTCGTCCACTTTGGTCTCGTCAGAAATCTGTTTTGAACCAGTAAAAAAAAAAAAAAAAAATATGTACATAACAATAACATTCACTCACATTACCTAAAAACTCGCAGTGAGTATTTTTTCCTTGTATGAATATTATCATGTACATTGACTTATCTGGTAACTTTTCTTCTTCAAGAAATTTCCGCCTTTAGCCATCTTGTTTTCTATTTTTGGCGCGGAACTTTTTCATTGGTCCCTACCACGGGACAAATTACTTGTTTTTCCTGCATTTAATAAAAATTACTCTTGTTGAAACCCAGTCTTGTTCTGTCATTCTGTGTCGGCTATCTTAATATATTTTATTTTATGCACGTGTGGATTAACCACATTTCTTCGTTGTTCATTCACGCACATTTTTATCTTTTTACTTTGCTTGTAGACTCGGTAGTTTAGTGTGGTGTATGGCACAAGGCCACTCAGTAATAAACCAGCACTGCACCCTACCGGGCCTGCAACAAGATTGGTGACCCCGACGTGATTCGAACACGTAATAATTTTGCAACCTTGCCAACATATTTTTGAGCAAGCTTAAATATAAACGTGCATAAATTCGATAGCCAGAATGACGTCTAGTGACTCTGAAGAGTCGGCGAACATGTCCGCCGCCGTCGCTCCTTTTCCCTCCTTTCATGAAGGAAATATAAAGAACTGGTTCCTGCAAATGGAAGCTATCTTTACAGTCAGAAGGATTACTGACCAAAAGACAAAGTTTGGCCACGTGGTGGCGGTTTTGCCACCCGCCATTGTTGATGAGGTCTCAGACTTCCTAGAAGCCGTTCCTGAAGTAGAACCCTACGCCCGGTTAAAAGAAGCGATCTTAAGGAGAATGGGCCGTACGGAGGAATCATTAATCCGGGAACTATTTAGCAACCTAACTTGCGATGGCAGGACTCCCTCCCAACTCCTTCGTTATATGAAAAGCCGACTCGGCAAAAATACCATGGCTGACTCTATATTAAAAAGCTTGTGGCTGGACCGTCTCCCCACCACCATTACCCAAATTTTGGCGCCAATGTCCGAAAACACCTCGATCGATCAATTAGCGGACGCCGCTGATCGTATTTTCTCGCAACTGGATAATCAGACAATGCCAGTACACAATGCTGAAGCGACTAGGGACCACAGCTCCTTGGAAAAAACAGTCGAGGATTTGCAGCGCCAAGTTAAAGATTTAACATTAGCTCTAGAAAGCCAGGGTCGAAGCCGGTTCCCTTCCCGCCGGCGCTTCAGAAGTCGACCACGCTCGTCAAGTCGGAACAAGGATGCCACTCCTACTATGTGATACTACCACCGACGATATGGGTCTAAAGCTCATTACTGCACCAAGCCGTGTTCCTATACTGCGGTCGCGGGAAAACAAAACCGCCAGCGAGTGAAAGCGACTAATCTCGCTGGCAAGGCATTTTCACCAAAACTTAGTCGCCTTTTTTATGTGACGGACACACGTAATAATTTACGTTTTTTGGTTGACACCGGCGCTGCCATTAGTGTCTTACCCGTGCGTGATAAAGCACGTAAACAACCTTCCAGCTCCGCCTACAAGCAGCAAATGGTTCCAGTATTAATACTTACGGTACGAAGTCCCTTACCCTAAACATAGGGATGCGACGAGACTTTACTTGGAATTTTACTGTTGCTGACGTCCAGATGCCGATATTAGGTGCCGATTTCCTGGCGCACTATGATCTCGCCGTGCGAATGAACGACCATTCCTGACTGACAACTTAACAAGACTGTGTGTTCTTGGCACTTATTCTAAACTTACCACCACTGGCATCACCGTGGCAACGTGCCACAATAAAAGAGTACTTAGACTTATTGAATCAGTACCAGGACCTCCTGCGTCCTGCTGGATCTATTGATTCAACTAAACATCAAACACAGCACTTTATTAAGACCACTGGTCAACCTGTTTTTACCCGTCCTCGTCGTCTAGCACCTAACAAATTAAAATTCGCAAAGAAAGCTTTCGACGACATGCTACGAGAGGGTGTTATTCGTCCGTCCGACAGTCCCTACGCTTCCCCTCTTCATTTGGTACCTAAAACAGGAAAGGAGGACTATAGAATTTGTGTGGATTATAGAAGATTGAATTCCATCACCGTCCGGGATCGTTATCCAATCCCCCACCTCCACGATTTCACTTCTGGTTTACAAGGCGCAAAGATTTTTACCAAAATAGATCTCGCCAAAGCATATTATCAGGTGCCAGTAGCTGCTGCTGATGTCCCAAAAACTGCTGTTACTACACCTTTCGGTTTATTTGAATTTTTGAAAATGCCTTTCGGCCTTTGCAACGCAGCACAGACATTCCAACGTCTTATGGACGAGGTTCTGCGTGGAATCCCTTTTGTTTTCGATTACATTGACGACATTCTGCTAGCTAGCGAGGACGCTGCCTCGCATAAACAACACCTACACGAAGTTCTTCAACGTTTGTCTCATTACGGATTTCGTCTAAACCTGGACAAATGTGTCTTCGGATCAGACCATATAGAATTTTTAGGACATCAAGTCGATGCAAATGGAATTGCCCCTATAACTGAAAAGATTAAAGCTATCACTGAGTTTCCCGTCCCTGTTTCTATTAGACAGTTGAGACGCTTTATAGGGATGATCAACTTCTACAGGAGGTTTATTCCAAACTGTTCTAACATTCTGACTCTCCTTACCAACTTATTACAGAAGAAGAATAAGACTATTATACTTGAGAGTGAAGCCTTGGACGCCTTTCGAGCAGCTAAAACCGCTCTAGGCAATTTTTCTAAGCTCAGTTTCTTAGAGGACGACCCTCAATCGGATATCTACCTGACCACTGACGCTAGCGAAACAGCAATAGGCGCGGTCATTGAACAAGTCACTCCTTCTCAAGGTAGACCTATAGCGTTCTTTTCCGCTAAACTTTCTCCTGCCCAGTCACGCTACAGTACCTTTTCTCGTGAACTGTTGGCTATATTTCGTGCCATTAAGCATTTCAGACACCTCCTCGAAGGTAGGTCCTTCGTTATTTTTACGGACCACAAACCTTTAACGTCCATTATGTCCACCAATTCGGACAAATACACTTCGAGGGAAATCAGATACCTGGACTATATATCTCAATTTACTACTGATATTAGGTACATTAAGGGTTCGGATAACACTGTTGCCGATACCCCATCTCGTACTGAGATGTTCGGCGTGCATACTGATGCACTCAGTCAAGACTTGATCGCCGACGAACAGAAAGCGGACATAACTCTGAAGCAGGTGTTATCCGACACTTCTTTGGAACTTCAGAAATGTCCAGCTCCTTTTAGTAACAAGGTCCTATACTGTGATGTTAAATCCAAATCCCCAAGACCTTATGTTCCTCCGTCTCTTCGTAGACAGGTTTTGACCACCTACACGGCTCTCACACCCCTAACAAAAGAGCCACAGTTAAGTTAATTTCGGACCGTTTCGTTTGGCCGAATATGAACGTTCACATTCGCGAATGGGTCAATACATGTTTACAATGCCAGAAGTGTAAGGTGCATAGACACACAAAATCTCCTGTGGGCACCTTCAGCGAGCCTGATGCTCGTTTTACTAATATACCCCTGGATTTAGTTGGGCCCCGACCAACCTGCCATGGTTATTCCTACCTTCTAACTATAGTGGATCGTTTTTCCCGATGGCCTACTGCCATCCCTGTCAAAGATACCACTGCTGTGACTGTCGCAAAAGCTATTTTACGCGATTGGATTTCGATTTTTGGGACTCCTAAAGTGGTTACTACAGATAGAGGAGCACAGTTCCAGTCGTGTCTTTTCAGGGAATTCACTGAACTCCTTGGTGCAAAGCATATACGTACTACAGCGTATCACCCCTGTGCGAATGGGCTGGTGGAACGATTCCATCGCACCCTTAAGGCTTCGCTATCAACGAAGCATGAGAATAATAATTGGGTCGATGAATTACCCTCATCCTTTTATCGTTAAGAAATATTCTTAAGGATGACTTGAAATGCTCCCCTGCAGAGCTTGTATTTGGTACTTCGTTATCTTTACCTGGCCAATATTTTTCGCCAGCTGTGACCACACCACCAGTTTCTTCCTCTTTTATTCAGGACTTACGCCTTAAAATGGCAAACTTATGCTATACACCACCGCGGCACTGCCCGAGTGATATCTATTTACCGCACCAGCTCAAGGACTGCGAATTTGTATTTGTACGTAATGACTCTGTTAAGCGGCCTCTTACGCCGGCCTACACAGGCCCATTCCGCGTTCTTAAACGCGCGGACAAATATTTCCAAATACGAAAAGGTATTCAAACTGACAACGTTTCGATAGATCGGTTGAAACCTGCTTTTATAGAGAAACTGTCGTCTCATGCTACTTCCCAATCAACTCCGCAAGTTCAGGAGAATTTTAAGACACCTGTTTCTCTCGACAAACCTAAGTATACCAGCTCCGGTCGAAAAGTCACCTTTCCAAAGAAATTTGAAACATTCTATTATTATTAGTCAAATGTCTGCGACATTTGATCCAGGAGGAGGGCTGTGTGGAATAATGTATTATTCCATCTACGACATTTTACGCGCGCGCGAGTTTCCTCCCTTTCTTCCACACTCGTGTGTGCGCGCGCGCGTTTGACACCCCCTTTCTCCCTCGTTCGGTCTAATACAGTAGTAACTGTTTTGGTCGATAGTCAAACGACCTGCTACTCCTGTTTATGCAAATTAGATTTTTGAAATCTTGCCGCGAAAAATTTGTGACGTCAACGACAAACTGTTGTTTCAAGAAAAGTTAGTTGTGTTCCAGACTCTGACCTGGGCAGACTCATTTTATCCATGTCAATATTTCATGTTGACTGGCGAAGGAAATAATACTATGCGACCCAAATAATTTTTTTCCTCGTCCCTTTTGGCTCGTCATTCATAATCATTTTTCCGAGACGATGCAAATACCAAATAAAAATTCTTCGTTCCTTTTGGCTGGTCATTCAAAGAACCCTTTTCCGAGACGATGCAATACCAGATAATTTTTTCCTCGTCCTTTTGGCTCGTCATTCGGAATTTCTTCTACAAGACTATGAGAACACCAGATAATTAATTCCTCGTCCCTTTTGGCTCGTCATTCAAAGCGAGATGATGCAAAACATCCAAATATTAATTCCTCGGCCCTTTGAGACTCGTCATTCAAAGTTCTACTCCGAGACGATGCAGAACATACAAGATAACAATCCGTCGTCCACTTTGGGTCTCGTCAGAAATCTGTTTTGAACCAGTACAAAAAAAAGGAAGAAAAGAAATATGTACATAACAATAACATTCACTCACATTACCTAAAAACTCGCAGTTAGTATTTTTCCTTGTATGAATATTATCATGTACATTGACTTATCTGGTATCACTTTTCTTCTTCAAGAAATTTCCCGCCTTTAGCCATCTTGTTTTCTATTTTGGCGCGGAACTTTTTCATTGGTCCCTACCACGGGACAAATTACTTGTTTTTCCTGCATTTAATAAAAATTACTCTTGTTGAAACCCAGTCTTGTTCTGTCATTCTGTGTCGGCTATCTTAATATATTTTATTTTATGCACGTGTGGATTAACCACATTTCTTCGTTGTTCATTCACGCACATTTTTATCTTTTTACTTTGCTTGTAGACTCGGTAGTTTAGTGTGGTGTCTGGCACAAGGCCACTCAGTAATAAACCAGCACTGCACCCTACCGGGCCTGCAACACGTGTTGTGAGAGAGAAAAATTACAAGACAAAATGCCTTACACTAGGGAAATGAAGATGACAGGCTCGACATAAAACCAAAATTAGAAATAAAATTAATCAGAAGAGCCGATTGTATCGATTCAACTACAGAAAAACAAAATGGTTACATAGGATGTGGGTGCAAAACATATGAAACTCTAAAATATTTAACACAAATAAAGTACTGAAAAAAATCTGGCAAAAATTAGAAACCAATGACAGGATGGTCGTGGCTGCGCAGAGTACACTTTAAATGTGAAACAGGTTCAACTGAAGCAGGAGCGAAAAGTAAATGTTTCAGACTGTATCGCACAGATACAATTTCATAGGATCTAACAATAGTAAAAGAATCGTGTATGTGGCTTGAGTGGGTTACTGAATTTGAGAGAGGGAGATCGAACGATAGTAAAATGGTTAAAAAGGAAAGGGAAAACAGACAAATTTTTATAGGAACTGTAACAATGTATGGGCTTTAGTAACAAAAAGAAGTAAAAACGAAGAAAACTCTCTTTTAAAATAACGGTAAAATATAAGCATATCATGAAATC